GCTACAGCAGAAGGGTACACTGGTTACACTATGAATAAGTCACTGTGTGCAGTACAACCGGAAACAACAAATAAATTGTTTCAGGCCCGTGTTATTTCAGCCATACAGGTTTTTTGGAAGACCAGATATTTGGCCACGAGGATTCCCGCTTGAATATGTCAAAGTACGCGTTCATTTCTGCTTCGTGGGGAAAAAGAATAAGCTCCTAATAAATGTGAATTCAAAGCAGTACATTTTTACACGATAAAACTGATTTCTAGAAACAAAAAAACGACCCGCATCACTATTCTCTGTGCCAATCGATAAGGACACCTGTAATACAACAGGGAATTGTAAGGAAAGACCCAGATGTTGATGCTGTCTACAGACTTTTGAATGCTGATTCTGAAACTGGATTGAACGAAGAGTTTAGTCCATTTGCTCCAACAATTGTACTCGGAAAAAGTAAACCTTTTAACATTCTTTACGGAATTTAGATCTCGTTCTTAAGTTATGTATTTTAAAAACTGACTTTCAGATGTTTATTCTCCATTCAATAGCCAAAACACGTTGTTTCATAAGTCAGCGTTTTTTACTCTGTGGCTGCCAGTTTCAGTGGCTTTCAGAGTAACGGATATCTGGCGCTCTTATTTTGCTCAGAAGCTGATTCATCTAATAGGAAACAATGTTGCTTTTTACCCCGTAAACGCAGTGCAGAATAGAAACCCGCATAACTATCTGAACGATTTTAAGGTTGTTCAGCGACTGATCTCTTACTCACAACATAAGTGTTATTTGCGCAGTAAAACTTCAGGAGGAGACCTCCTTGTACGAAGACGCTGGGAGGCTGATCCAATATTTGTCAAAATGGAACTGTTCTACAGCTTCACTGGAAGGGTGTATAATAAGCTTGGCTGATGATTTAGCCCTGAATGGATTTTGGAACAACCTCGATAGTCAACTGGCTAAAGACTGGATTAAAGACCTCAAACAACTCAATTATACGTATGTGTCTTCCACTTTATTAAAGTAGATTATAATGTGTGCAACAAAATATTATTTATCGTTACTGTTGAGCAGTTTTGGTAGATAATAATTGTGCGCCGTTAAGTCACTGACTGTCGATAGATCGGTTTTCAGATTCCACTTGTTAAATTATGGGGATGAAAAGTACGAGGTCGAGAGAAACGAAACATTGCGACATATAAACTGTAGGCGAGCGAACCTGGAAATAGTTCACGAAGTAGCAGATGCAACCATGGTACTCTGTAAACTGCAACTAATGGCATATAGATATCATTACTGATTCTCAATTTTATTTTGTATTTCAGCTTCAAATACTCAAAGAACAACAAGCTATCAACTCGTTTAGAGAGTTAGACGAGTGGTGTAGCTATACTAACGACAGTTTTAACGAAACGGCTATGGAGTACGAATT